CATTCCCATTTGATTTTCCCATGTCCAATTGTGAAAACCTAAACTTTGAAATCTTGAAAACAAAACCACCTGATCTTAATCGAGAGTTATCTTAAGTGATTTCGATCATTTAAGATGTAATTAACTATAGGGGCTTGCCTCTATAGGGAACCAGGAACCCAGATAAAATAAACCCTATCTAATTTTTATGTTAGATAGGGGAACTTGTTGGCCTTTTTATAAAAATATTTCGCAGACCAAACGGATGTCACAAATTGTTTAGTCTAGACGATTAAATCCCTATTACAAAGTAATATATTTATTCTTCGGGATAAGTGTATTGCTTGTAGTATTGTGTTAAATCATCTAAGCTATTTAAAATGTGAGACTCGTTTGGTCTCACTTATTTTAAAATTTAAAAACGTTACTTCTTTAAAAAGGTTATATTTATATTTAAATTATTTTCAAAATCACAAAATCATCACCGTTTCCAAACTACGAAAGTGAAGTTGAACAATAAAACAGCCGACATGCTCTTAAGTGGCTTAAAGCCTCAAATTGCGCAAGACCCGATCTTGCCAAATCAACACAGTAAGCCCTTAGTATTAAACTGTTAAATTGCCCAAATGTTCAAAGAATCATCATTCACCAAAGCTACACTCCCAAATAAGCAGATCACTAATCCTAAGTACTCAATGAATTACTAGCTTTCTCGCTAAAGAGCTTCTCAAGAGTACTCTCCCAAATAAGCAGATCACTAATCCTAAGTACTCATCATTCCTATCTAGCAATCAAGTACAACTCAAACTCAAACACAACATATCTAGCTATACTAACTCAAAGTAATATATTTCTTATATGACAAAAACATGTAAACAATTTTGTAATGCCTTCTATCACGCAATCTTATACTTAGAAACTTTCTCACTAATCTCTCTCATAATGTCCCATAGATTCACCTCTAGGTCTATGTTTTTCTCCAATAAGCATATATGTAATTAGGTTTGATTAGCCCTTTCTAATATGAAGGGTTTTGATAGAGTATTCTATAATTTACTCCAATCAAGGGGAACTATTGAAACTGAATCATTGCTCTATTCCTTTCAACTCATCGGGTACGATTTCTATATCTAATAAAGACTTGGTATCTTTCCACGAATAATATCGAGTCTAACATCCTCTTAGGTGTGGTGATGATGAAAATGTCAAAGATAGAGCACCATGTCACATAGCATCCAAATGATAAGCAAAGGGCCTTGCATGATGAGCGACCAATGAATATTCCGTCTCCAAAATAATATAAAATATGGAGGATACTCTCACACCCATGATCCATGATATTTTTGAATTCTTTCGAGTCATTCATGTCAACCACACCCCATAAGAGCATGAATCAGTCGTCTTTCCAAGAAGTTGACACTGTCTTAATTCCAAAGCTACTTGTCACACCGCGCCATCTAAGTGGAGTTAGTGATATCCCTTCAAATATGAGAGAGGATTCTAGAGAAAATCAAAAAGAAGAAGATCAACCAACGAGACTCTAGAAGGTTCCATCATATTCCAGATAACATTGAAGTAGAGAAGCTTCAAGAGAAACTCCAAGCATGGAAGAATATTCTAATGTAATTTAGAATATTCTCTAGTATTTCAACATATCTATGGCAATTACATTTCTTGCAGGAGGTTGGGCTTTTACTGCCCTAAGAAACTTGTTGCAATCCTAGGCATACAACTAAATGCAACAAAATCCATCGAAGAGGAAGTGTTACCGCCTCAAACAATGACATAATAAGAGACCTTCTACAAAATGCCCGTTTAAAAAATGGAAATGACAGCTTGAATGCATTGTTGGAGAATTGAGCCAAATTATTTAAATCGCAATCAAGGTTGCTCAAATATTGTTCGATCGAGAAATGAACCATGCCAGTGCGTCCAAAACATCAAAATTACAAAGAAAGAACGCCCATATTGTCCAAATCCCCAAGTACAAGTGGACGATGCGCAATTTGAGGCATAATGAATGATGAACTTCTACAAGAGAAGACATTAAACAGCAAGCCTTTATCAATTAAGTGGGGTTGGCTACATGAATCCTTTATCTATAAGGCAAAATATATTAAGAATTAAATTTAATATATATATATATATATATATATATTCCCAACACCAGATCCCGCCAATTCTTTGCCTTCCTACGCCCAGCACTGCCTTCGTACATTTAGTACTGCAGAAAATGTTGCGTCTTTTTCCCATCGGCCTTTTTTTTTAAATAGGGTGAGCGCACAAACTGGTACTTTGTGATTCTTTATTTTATTTCCAACTAATATTTTATACACTCGAGCACTTCTCGCATCTAGTATAATTAAAAAAAAAAATCAAGCCTAATCAACCTATCCAGCTTCACATTACCTCATTCCATCCACGAGGAAAAATAAAAGGAAAAAACTCACTTCCATTTCTCTCTCTCTCGCTACCCATTTCATCTTGGCCTCCCTCTTCATTTTAGAACATTCATACTTCCCAAAACTCGTCTCAAGCCACAGTTGACGCTGCTCCCTCCTCACACAAACCGCTCTAACCCTTAGCGGCCTCTTTCTTTTCTCCATATGCTCGACTAGCCAGCCAACAAGCCCTCCATGAGCTGCTCCTCTTGCACAGGTCCAGCTCCAGCTCCAGCTCTCTCTCCATCCTTGCACAACACCCCCCACCCAAGCTCCCTTCTCTGAACACCTCAGTCAGCTCTCCTTTACAGGCCTCACACACTTATCCCCTCTTCGCATTTCATTTTCCCCTCATCGATCCCAACTCTCTCCCATATCAAGGCAGGTGAACCCAACTTTCCTGACCGAAAACTCTACCCCATTTGCAGCCTCTCTATTTGTTCCAACATAATTCGCACCCACACCTGCTTGAATGCAAGCAAATCGAACACCCCTTTCTCCGTTTCTCGCCCATTGAAGACATCGCCACCCATCATTCCTTCCTCACTGTAGCCTCCCCCACCTACAACTACCTGATGTAGGCAATCTTATCCAAACACGCAGCACCCCTCGATCTTTTGCTTGTAAACTTGTACCCCAATCGCAAGTCGTCCTTCAGACGAATCTTAGCACAGCATATCCTCTAGCCGCCACCTCATCCCACTACTCTCTATCTCTATCACTCTTCAAAATCTCTCCACCCCTCACTTTCTATTTCTAAATCATCCAATCAAAATAAAAAATTTAGCTTAATCTTGCCAATTCATCCTCAGCATTATCGCTACCTCGTGCAAGGGCAGTCGAACAGCCGAATTAAGTACCTGAATGCTCTTTATTGGTGCTGCAGAAAAATTCTATTATACTAGTGTGTTCTTTTGCAAGAGAAACCCCCATTCACGGTTATTGGTTACCATCATATGAATAAATTATAAACAAGTAGTTAGCAATCATGCATGAGGACATGAGAAAAAAAAATCTTATATTTTCATAAAAATATTGTCTCTCGGACTCGCTTATAAATTATCATTAAAAATATGCATTCTCTCTCTAAATCTTCTTTATAACTCGAGTTAAATTGCTTTTCTCCAAAAGGGTTCAATTGAGGCATTCATGGCCGATCCGAACAAGGCAAATCACTGAGACTTAATCTTCTTTCTCTTCCCATCTAATCTCTAGGCTCGATCCATGATTTTAATAGTCCTCACATCTTATTATTGAAGACAATAGACAAAACACGTGGTAGTGATTGATTTAATTATGCATCGGTGTTTCATTTGGCATTGAAATCAATATCATGATAACCTCAAAAAATCGGTAAAATGTTATATTATAGGAAGTAAAAATAAGTTCCAAGCAAAACAAAAGATGGCAATCACAGACATTCCCTTCAAAATCATGTGAAAATCATTATTTTAAGACTTGTGTAGCTCTTACCATTATATGAACATAATTGGGCTTGATGTAATCCAACAAGCGCTGATAATGGGTTATCATCAAAATAGAGTTATGGGGTGTTAACAATCCATTGATTGCCTTTGCTACATCTTGAAGTGCATCAACATCTAAACCAGAATCAATTTCATCTAGAATAGCCAACTCAGCCTCTAGAACCTGAAATTATATATGGATGTCATACATAGCACAAAAATTAAAAAGTAAAACTCGAAGTATAATGCAAAAAAAAACATTTAAATATGTTAGAAGAAATGCATTGCATGGAGCACATTAGAGCATTTAAATTTTGATATTTAAATAAACTTAGCCTACTAAAATATATTTATCTATAAAAAAATGTTTGATGATTGAATAAAATAGTAGGCGGTGTAAAGATATATTTAAGTAATTGCCTGCATGATTCTATGTAATAATGATACTTGAAGCCTAAAAAAATATGATTTAAAAGCCCATAACCTTAGATGCAAGTATGTCTAACGCTATGTATATGTCCAAGTATTATGCATCAAAGATCCATCACAAACTCTGGCAAATAATTAATAATAATAGACTTTTGAATGTATGTGTATTTATTAAAGTCAGGATAAAATATTTCGTATAGTTTGAATTTTATATGATGAACCTAAGGCATTCTATACATTATTGTTCAAGTAAATGGGTGTCAAATTAAGTGGGGAGTCACTTTCATATGTTGAAGTCATCAATATGTCGTAAGGTGCAAGAACTAAAGCGGAGATAAATAAAGATTAGTCACCAGTAAAAATTGACCAAGTCTAGATCTTATTTGTCTCATAATTTGGAGAGAGCAACGTGAAACCAACATGAGTCAACTCCAATATTGGGGAACGGCTAAAGAGAGAGCCAAATGAATGCAATTCAACACAAAGCGCAACATCAGCACTGCCCCAAAAAGTCAAAAACAAGAGGTTGGCCACTCTCTCCTCCACAAATGCACCAACCACCACCTACGAGCATAAAACTACCTACATTTTGGGAATTTGAATATTCAACTGAACTTTTAATGTAGATTGGGAATGAAAATTTAGAAGATTGACATCAACTTCTTCCCTCCTTTTGACTTGGTGGCTGAAAGGTCTTCTCTTTCATGAGGGTTTATTTATGCAATCGTTTTCTTCTATACTTTTCAAATAAAAATACTACTCCACCTCCTTTACATCTCTTGTACCATTCCATGAAATAATCTAGCCATTTTCTATGAAATAAAAAAGAAAGAAAACTCCATGAAATTAAAAAGGAGGAAAACTCCATCAACGCCCCAACCTACTAAACTAGGTCTTGTATGACCTAGTTCTGACTTTACTCTAATTCACCACTCTAAACTCTTTGGAAAAATACCCACAAACACCAAAACTCAACTGAAAACAACCTTATAACATTTCCAAGACTTAACAAGGTCAGGAGATCCACCATTTTGCAAACCCTCATTTTCTAAATGCACAATCAATTTCTTGACAAAAGGAGAAGTTTTCTTGTTTGGTTTCCTAGCCTCTCCAGCACAACTCCTAAACTACAGCATATTCAACCCTAAGGTTCCTAAGAAAATATTAAACAGCTCCTACACCAAAGAAAATCCATTGGAATACTCAAATCCAAGGTCATTTTCGCTATGATGAAAAGAGAATAGATAAAGAATTCATATGAGAATTCCTGGGAGAAAATAATAAAAAGTAATCAAGCTAAGAAAAAAAATACCCTAGTTTGTACAAATGAATAAAGAGAAGGATACCACTAGACAGCATGGACGTAAGCAGCAAAGCAAAATAAAAGAAAGAAAAGAATGAGTTCTTCTAAATTGTGAGGGTGGAGTTTAGTTTGCAAGTAATCTTAGGGTTGAGGTTCTAATCAATAGTCTAGATGCAAAAAAAAAATTCACAAACAGAAGCTAATACATGAGCTGAATCCAAATGTCATTCTCAAGTTTTTATTTTATTTTATTTTATTACACATTTGATGTTGGTAATAGCTCATTTTAATTTCTGGGCGACGTCTCAATCCGTGATTCCAACACCTTTTCGATAGTGCTAAAGCTCTCAACCAGCCTAAAGACGAGTAGCACCGAGTCCCTACAATTTTTCTATAGTTTCAGTCAATGGAGCAATACAAAATGCCCTTTTTTATCCCAAGTACCCATAGTGATGCTAGTTTCCAAATCTGGAAAATACCATCGTACCACATATAGCCACTGTAAACTGAAATCCGTCGCCTTAAAACAATTTACAACTTCATAGTTTCATTAGATAAACTACAGGACATTATATGTATAATTCATAGGAAATGAGTTTATATGGTGATTAACGTTACTACCCTTGCAAAATTTCTGTATTCCTTCTCTGATAAGCCTAAACTGAGCCAGATGGTATTCAATAATAACTTTAATAAACATTGAAAGCTGTTACACATTACATATTTACATCAGTTTTGAGACAAGACTAATGACAACGCACAAAAATGTTTTTTAAGCTTTGATTGATCCAAATTGCAATATTTTTCTGCAGTACCAACGTATGGCAAAAACAGGACAAAATGTATTATCTAAAATAATGTGCACTGAGCTGAAACAAAGATCTTTTTTTTTTCTTTTAAGCAAAAGGTGATTTTAACTGAGCTGTAGCATGTATTCTATAATATATATTATGCACGTTAAGATAAATAGGAATTGAATCTGTGAACAAGAGCAAATTTCTAAAAATTCATACCGCAAGCTGCAAGATTTCATTACGTTTTTTTTCACCACCACTAAAACCTTCATTGACATTCCGGTCTAGAAACTTTGGATTCATGTTCACAGCAGCAAGTTTGGGGGACAAAAAACCAAAAAACTGTATAGAATGAAGATAGAAATATCAATGAGTCAATCGATAACATAAAACTGGAAAAAGTTACTCTTCAAATTATAATAGGAATGAGAATTCAAACCACAAAAGCACAATTGTGTTTATAGTGAATAAAGAACATATAAAACAGACTAATAAAGAAGTTCAATGTCCAAAAATAACAATCATCAACAACATTGGTATAAGGATAGAAAGGATTGTTTTCTGCCAAATCTAGTAAAAGCTTGGATGTTTGTAATATTATCCCAAATAAAGCTGCCAAGAATTTTATGTTTTTGAGAAACAAGCTAACAAAGAATTATGATTTCCATATTAGATGACAATGGAAACACAGTATGGATTAAGAATTAAAATTTAAAAAAATATGGGTACCTCAATGGGAGAAAGTGCAGGTTCCCCACGCTTCTCTCTACGAGCATTACATGCCATAAGCAAGAAGTCCATGTTGCTCACACCTGGTATCTCCACAGGAGTCTGAAAACTCATGAAAAGCCCTGCATGAGATCTAGTTTCAGGCTCCATTTTTAGTAAATCCTCGCCTTTGAATGAAACAGTGCCTCCAGTTACTTCATAATCTGGATGGCCAACAAGAACCTGTAAAAGCAAGGCCAGATAAAATAAATAAATTAAGATTCTGCCAAGAGGATCGAATCGGCATTGCTCTTAGAATGGAAAATATTAAAGCATCCAAATAACATAAAGTAAAATTGAGAAAGCAACAAAAAAGGATGCAATTGAATTTGGCATATTACCATCATGAAAAACAAAAGTTTTCATGCCCTTAAAATAGAATTAAAATAGAAATGGTGTCCCTCCTGGGAAGCAAGCTAAAGCTACTCTTAAATATGAACAAAATGTATCATGCTCGAGGTTACCACAGTGACTTTTTTTTAACAAAAGCATCAAGTTCTTTCAGAATCAGCTGACTCTGAGTTTATGATTCAGATCAGTTGATGTATCTACTAGTCTACAGCATGTTTTTCATGTCTCCCTCACTAAGTCAATCATATATTTTTTATATGAAATGAAAATTCCTTCCTTTGAGTAAGCAATTTCAATTCTTATGAAGTATTTCAGTTTCCCAAGATTTTCATTTTAAATTCCTTAGCTAACTTCGCTTTGAGTACCTCCATCTCTTTATGATCATTTTAGGAGACAATGATGTAATCAACGTAAGCAAAAAGTACTATAACTACACTTGAAATGAAGTACTTCATAAACTGAGTATAACCTTGACCTTGTCTGCAGTCCTTTTCTAACATTAATCTTGCAAAATTATTGAATCAGGCCCAGGTTGATTCTTCAATGTCTTCCTTAATTTGCATACCAAACTTTCCCTAGTGGCACTGAATCCAGGAAGAACATTCTTATAAATTTCTTCCTCGAGATCTCTATACAAGAATACAGTCTTAATGTTAAATTGTTTCGTTGTCCACTAAAGATTAGCACCAAAGACATCAAAACTCTCATGGTGTTTATTTATGGCTACTAGGCAGAAGATCTTGGCAGTAGACAACAAAACTTTGGGTGTAACCTATCGCAACTTAGCTCATTTTAAGCCTTTCAAGAGTATTAGCTATATTATACTTTATAAAGAAAACTATTTATATTTCACCAGTCACTTTTCTTCTGATAACTTGACATCTCCTAAGTTTTGTTCTTCTTGGTACATCCATTTCAACTTTTATAGCCTGTTTGCACTCGTTGCTACTTAAAGCCTCAAATAGTGTTTTAGGAAAGGTTATTGAGATTAAGTAAAAAAGACTAAGTAGAAGGAGGATATTCTCTCAAGGAAAATTGAACTATCGACTACTTTTTTTCAAATGCAATGGTTAATTCTAACTGACTATTATACATAACAAATGCAGGAATGTTTACCTAGATGGAGCTTTCCCTCGTGTAATTTCCTTCCCGAGCATAAACTCAAACAAATGGGCTTGCCACATGGTTTCAATGGTGACTATTAAAGCTTATGAGGTAATACGTTTATAGAGACAGGTTGGACAGATGCAAACTAAGGACTAAATAGTGATGGCAAGTGCTTCCACGAGTAGTTTTGTGACCATGGATAAGACACGAGGTTCAATACCCCATCGTTGTTCTCTTTGAAAGTCCTCAGTATCTCCCCTAAGAAGAAGGATGATAAACAAGAAATCTAGAAAGTGATACCAAATAAATACCTCAAGAACTCTTAAACCCTAATATTTTAGAGGATAGTTGATAGATGAAAGGAATGGTGACAAGAATGTTTTCCCTCAAAAAAATATTTGGAGCTGTTTTCTTTGATAAGGAGAGACAATAGTTTCAAGGTGTCAATTCTTTCTTGCAGCTAATGTGTTTTGTTGCGGCATATCAATGAATAATGATTCATGGCTTAATATTTATTAATCAAGGAACGGCTATAGATTTTGATCGAAATATTACCTCCCATTGTCTATCCTTAGTCTTTTCATTTTCATTTATGTTTTTATCATATTATGAAAGGCTAAAAATATATAAAATACCTCAACTTTTGTTTTATGAGAAAAACCAAACCAAATACAATCATCAATGAATGTGAAAAACTAGCATGCCCCGTAGAGATAAAAACTCTTGATCTATCCCAAACATCATAGTGCATTAATTGAAAAAGATATGATGTTTTATTATTTCTTGGAAGGAAAGAGACATATATGTTGAGTAGGTTGCAAATATAACAATGTGTTATCTCAAATTAACATTCTTAAACAAGGAAATATAACTAAAAGTCCTAAAGGATGGATGGTCAAGTTGAAAATCGTGGATGAATTTTGGCATTTATTTGTGAAAGAATTTAATAATTGTAGAGACGAATAACCACCCCTAGCATTTGCTTTCAAAGTCTTTTTTTTCCTTTTTCATGTACACACAAAAACACACGCACACGGCATATGCAATGCCTTGAACCCAAGACCTCTTGGTTGAAAGGCAAAGCCCTCCACCACTAAGCCAAAGTGACATTTTGACATCTTGTTTCCACAGGCTTGAGACAGTAAAGTTCAACCCTTTCTTCAACATGCCCTGTAGTCTTCGAAATGAGTTCGCCCTTCGGAAGTATGATCTTGGCTCTTCTAGAAATTCCTCCCAACCCCCGTTCGATAGGGCAACCTCCTTTCTCCTTATTGAATCAATGAAAAAAAAAATTTAGGTTGAACTTGCTCCTTTTGTTTAACTCATGCGACACTAGGGAGTGATTTCCATTCCTCGGCTGAGATATGATTATTAGTCAGTTCCAATAATTCGGCCAGTGGCTTCGTGCACTGCAACTCGATGGCATAACAAAATGGACTTTCCCTTAGGCCCTAAGAAGTGCAGCATAAGCACCAATAGGCTCTAGATATCTCACTTGCAATACCTTCTTTTGAATTGTTCAAATTCACAATAACACTTTTGAATTGTTCTGCAGTATTTGAGAGCTGGCAAAATAAGCTAGAAGTTAGTGAATAAGTAATAATCCTAAGAGGTAAGTTATTAAACCAATAAGGGTTGATTCTTTAAGAAACATAGAAAATAGATGACATTTCAACGCATCATAAATCCTTAGTAGACACACTGCCGACTCGAACGAAACTACATGATCGACAGGATCAAATCTACCTAATAAGATTCTAGAGATGAAATTTTAAACTTCTCTGATGCCTCAGCTTATTCGACCTCCCTGAAAAAATATAAGAATGTTGCGCCCTCTTGGCAACTTCTCTTACCCTCTACCTCTTATAATAAAAAAGAAAAAAAATTTCACCATCAAGATAGTACATCTCATCCCCCTTTGCCAGATTAGATTGTACAGTTGTCCTTGATCTCACACTAGTACTCTTCCTCGGCATACTACTAATTCTGAATAATCAAAATGCATCTAGACGTGTGGTGTCATCCTTGACATATGCTCTAGCATTTCTTGAAACATTTGCATCATAGGCTCATTCATTTCATTTATTTATTGCACAACAAACTCCTTAGTGTACTCCATGTTAAATTAATTTTTTATGTTGTTTCATGTTTGGTCCTTCTCATTGGAAAGCTATTTGTCTAATCTATAGCATACTCCATACTCACCATACATTTATGAATGTTGGATCCTAAACTTTTCGTGGACTCGCACCACCTATGAAAGAGCTATGAAGAATGATACAAAATATATGCAATTGATAAAAGAACGGTAAGAAAAATTCCAAGAATTTTATTAAGTATGAAGTGGCTTTTACAGACTTAGTCCCTGCACAAAAAGTAATAGATACATTGTTCAAAATTAAAAAAAATAAAATAGAGGTGTGTGTGGCCAATTGATAAGACTGATAAAATGCATTGGTCGTTGCATCAATTGGTTAATATAGCCCACCAGAATAACTGGTCGAATTGATTGGTCGTATAAACGAGTAGAACTAGTTGGTATGATTGAACTACTTAAATAGAAGTCCTCTTGCCCCCTAACCCTTGTCGAGTAACTTCAAAATGTTCTGGGTAATCTAGGATTTGAGTGATGCTTTTAGGCGAGATCTTCTAGGTTTAGCTCGATCTAGGGGAATTTGCCTATACATGTACAATATGCTAACCTTTTCTTTTATTTTTTTTTTGTTTTTTTTAATGTATAATATGCTAGCTTAATACAAAATCAAATATTTTATGCATTTCTATCCAAACGAACAATTACATAAATCATTCCTAAACTATCTCACAAGTGTGTATTCTCCAACATTTAATGTGAGAAATGCACATGCTTTGCGTACCAAGCCACTGATCTTAACCCAAACTCAAATGAAAATGGATCTGACCTTCCCCTATTAGTATGAATCTCACTTCTTAATCTCTTTCCAAAACACAACGAGCATGCTCGATTCCACACATTTTTATTCTCCTATCTTTCCAATCCATTTGTTTATTCCATAAACTTAATTTTGAAACAATTTTGCCTTGTCAGGAAGGGGAAGCTTGAATTTAAAACAAAAAGCAAATCAATTATGCTCAAAGAACTCATAACCATAAAAGCGCTATCTTTACACTTTTTTCCATTTGAATGTCAAACTAGCTTGACTTTAAATTGGTTTTATCTCATTTCCATTTCTTTCCTAATTGTTTTACTCTCTTTTTGTTCAGGGTTGTGTACAAAAAGGCAATGTTTTCCAATTGCGTACCAATTGTTAGATATTTTTCTACATTAACTGGATCTTTATAACAAAATGGGGCAAGCGAAAAAATAAACTAATAACTGGGTTGTTATTTTCAATCTGATTAAATATCAAACAACAATATGAGGCAAAATGCGGCCAAAATTAAACTATTCCCTCCAGCATCTTAGTTCAATGGAGATTGTTCCAATTCAAACAGTCTATAATCCGTTGCTGCCCAAATTACCAAAACCAATTCGGCTCGGCAACGTAATATGAAAAATCACGCCACTTCTAGAAACTAAAATTCCCAACTTCAACCATTGGTGCATAGAGAAGCATCCAAAAAAATCTCACCTTAGAAAACGTGCTCTTTCCTGATCCATTCTTCCCCATAATGGCATGAACCTAGCCTCACAAAAGACAAGTATAAATAAGAACAGGAAAACAAAACGAAATTGAACCGAGACAAGAAACACAAAAATCCTTATCCAAAGCACAGATCAACCTCGCCTTCATTGATAGTGAGATTGACACCGCGGAGGATTTCTTGCTTGGATTCAGCAACAATGGCCGTGAGGTTTTTAACCTCGAGAAGAATCCCAGGCGGAGCAGTCTCCATAGTTTTTTCTCCAGAGATTTGGGAATCCACCGTAAGAGTTGCGTAAGTCCGGTGACTTCGCCGATCGGCGCTGCGAAATCGAAATCGCGGTTGGATTTCTAACGACTTTGAAATGGGGAAGACTTTCGTGGAAGAAGAACTCGAGGAAACAGAAGGTAGGTTGGGCAAAGGAGTGAGAGAAGAGAAGCAAAGACGAGCAGTCATGGTGGCAGTCGAGAGCGTATCAGAGCTCTATGATAGTTGGCGAGTACTACGCTGGAGTTTGAAGAACGGAGGTGGAAGACCAAAAATTTTCTGTCCCGACAAAGGGCGTACCTTAAAAATATTAAAGTAGAGGTTATTTGAGCGGCTAAAATTAGAGGTTACTCCAGTGCAATTGCCCCCTATTGATTTTGTTAAATTGGGCGGTCAGTTGAACTGAAATTGCAGGGATTATTAGGGTTATTCAAGGGTTATTGTGGGAGTTATTATATGAGTTAATTGAGTGAAATTTTGTAGGTTATTAGAGAGTTATTTAGAGTTTATTGAGTGGATATTACAGTATTATTGAAGTTAATATCTCAATAAACTCCTAATAATCTTTTGTGGTTTCCACTTCAATAATCCCCCACAAGAACCCCCTAATAATCTCTGCAATTTCACTTAAATTACCCTACATTAACCTCCACAATATAGCATACGTGGCGGCATATTACTAGAATTCACACGTAGAGCTCCGTTAAGAGTCAAGACAAAAAAAATTTTTCCGTGGAAAACAGCCTCGGCACTGGAATTCCCAGAGATCAAGAAAGATAAATTATTTTATCAAACCAAGTTGCAAATGCACACTTTTTCATTATTTTATTTAAAAATATATTTTAATTTTAAAAATGAGAGAAAATAAAACACGTACTGCACGGTCCAACCCCGACCCAAACTGCCCAGAATAAATCAAATATAATAAATACATATATTGAGACTTTAGGCGTTTGGGGTTTATTTGATGTTTCATATATAGAGATCGGTGTCAAGCTCTCTACGATTGTTCTATGATTTGTCCTTCGATATTTTCTAAGCTCCAAGATTCATCTAATGTAATAAAGTTATGCTTCGACATTTGTATTTTTTTTTCCTATTTAGTTTCTTTATTTTTTGTTTGTCGAAATTTCCTCATTTTATGGCTCCACATGTTTGTTTGTCTCCCAGCTTAACAACAAAGAAGAGATTGGAAATCTCGTAGGAATCAAAATACAACATACGATAACTGCGTGTGATACAATAGTTGTTTTTCTGGTAAGTAAATGTGATAATATGCTTGCAAATATGAGACAATGGTTGTTTTTTAAACTTTTTTTTTGTAACCGAAGATTTTTTAAATGTTTTTTTTTTTTTTGTGCATGCTCATAAAATACAAACAATATTGTATTGGTTGTACTGATTTATCTGAGTACAATCAACGGATACAATACGATTGTAATGAAGTAATAAGACAACAATGTTTAGTTTTGTTTAAAATATCAATAAAATACAAAACTAGTATATAGATAAAATGAATTTTTAATGTTTGCTTTTTTTTCGCACCTACAATTGTCTGATTATTTTCCTTATACAATCAAGTTGTATCGATTGTAATGCGGTAACTCAATACAGTTGAGGTTGTAATGAGGTAATTAAGCACAACCGATATAGCACAATTGTACTAAAATAAGACAAAAATGTTGATTTTTATTTAAAATCTGAATAAAAATAAAAATAAAAAACTTGTTTACATGTAGAATGAATTTTTAAATAAAAAATGTTATATAGATAGAATAAATTTTATTTTTTATTTTTCCTACGATTGTCTGATTATTTCTCTAGTACAATCTTGTTGTATTGGTTGTTGAACATCGTAGTACTAAAGTATGGCAACAATATTGAGTTTTTTTTAAATCAGAATAAAAAAAATGATATATAGATATAAAGAATTTTTAAATAAAAAAATGGTATATAGATGGAATAAATTTTAAATTTTTGTTTTCCCTACGAGTGTCTGATCATTTCTCTTGTACAATCGTGTTGTATTTGTTGTACTGATGGAACTCAGTACAACTTATACAGCATGATTGTACTGAATTAAGACGGCAATGTTGAGTTTTGTTTAAAATCTACATAAAAAAAATTATATAGATAGAATGAATTCTTAAATAAAAAAATGATATATATATAGAATGAATTTTTATTTTTATTTTTTCCTACGATTTTCTAATTATTTCTCTTATACAACCATGTTGTATTAGTTATACTAAGAGAACTCAATACAACCGATACAACTTGGTTGCATTGAAACATTGTAACATTGTTGAGTTTTGCTTAATATCTAAATAAAAATAAAAAAATGGGTATATAGATAGAATGAATTTTTAAGTTTTTATTTTCCTCATACTTACGATTGTCTGATTATCTCTCATGTACAGTAAAGTTGTATTAGTTATACTGAGGTAAATCAACACAGCCGATACAATACAGTTGTACTGAAGTAAACACGTAATAATTACGTCGCTTTACATTGCATTCTTATTAGTTTTTTTTTTTTTATCTCAACTGCATATTTGAAAATTTTCAATTGAATGGGCAACAGAAGAATTGCGTTCAGGTGCTGGTCATTAACATTTCAAGCAGTATATGATGAATTTTCACTTGACATCCCCGAGGACATTGTTATTATATTGAGAAATCTATATATTCATCACTGTTTGAAGATTCCACTCATCCAATAAGGCGTACCACTTATTGTGCATATTCTTTAGTGTTAGAATGTTGAGAGACAAGCCTTACTTATTGGTGGTCATGAGCTGAAGTTCAATGTAGATGAAGAGGCACTTACGATTGGTTTACCCAACAGAGGAACTGAAGTTACTTAGATGAGAGAGCCTTTATCCAAGTTCACATTTATAGATTTTAAAAATAAAATTAAAAATCCTAATCTTGATAAAAATAGTTCAAATTTTATTAAACTTTTTATTAATTTTTCCCTTTCAAACCTTTTTTTTGCATACAATAACTATAAGGTATCTAAAAATTATTTTTTTTTCTAGAAATGTAAATGAATTTGCAAAGTATAAATGCCCAGAGTCCACATGGAGGTTTTTTGTAGACCAATTTGACAGCCTAATTGAAAAGTCAAGACTCCATAAGCCTTTTGGCTATATAAGTGGTTATATGTTACTCTTTTGATGATATGATTTTTTCATTAAATCATGTTTATTGGCGTGATCTTTATTGCTTACATGCTAATGCATTATATTTCATTGTATTGCAGGTACGATTTTTTGAGTATGCCAATATTATTTTCCCTGTAATGCCACAGGCAAGACCGCATATAATGCGATGGTCGAAGTCATTGGTAGTGAGAAATAAAATCTACAGTTCTTTTATTTCAGAGTTGTTAGATGATCAGGTAAAAACTAATATAATAAAGTGTGTTATTTTCATTTTTATTAAAAAAAAGAATATATACTAAAGAAATTTATCCAATTTTTTTGTGGTTTATGATCTTTTTTTAGGAATATAGCCATTAAAGAGTTGGCATTGTTATCTGACATTTTCAATGTACATTACTCGTCAGCAGCAACATATTCTCCGTCCTCAAGAGATCAACAATTCCATTTTGTAATATATACTAGTAGCCACAGTTGAAGCCACTCATAAGTGTGTACATATTCTTCAAACATTGAAAATTATAAATTGGTTATGTCTATTGAGCAAAGGCTTATAGCTTTTGAAGCCTCAATAAACAATAAGCTCGGGTAGATTGAGATTGACCTGAGCAGTGAGAGCACAAGAATAAATGTCAGGGACGCACGAATAAGGTCTATTGAATACCAAATAAATGGAGAGTATAACATGACTCATTGTCCCCAAGATGTAAATACAACAATAAACACACCTCCTATCATTTTAAATAAAATAAATGAGTTCAACATATATAGGTATAACCACTCCTCACTCTCAAACTAAGATTGGGGAAGAGGAAAATAATAAGGAAGCAAAAACACCACTTCCTGATCACAAGGAAGAGAATAAGGGAACAATCATTCCCCCTCCTAAGCCAACTCAACATCAATTGGAGGATAAGAATAAGGGATAAATCATTCACCCACATGAGCCAACTCAACATCAATTGGGGGAGAAGAATAAGTAAGAAATTATTCCCTCACCGGAGCTAACTGGACATCAATTGGAGGAGAAGAATAAGAACTTAACCTCAAGTGGAGGAGGAGGTTGAAATAAAGTAAGGGGAACAAAAAACCATTGCAAGCGCTGTAAAACATAAATAAGAAATGAAGCCATTGTTGGTGAGGACTCCATTCACAAAGTCTACAGTACATAAAAGAAAAAGATTAAGAAAATTAAGAGAGAGAGAGAGAGAGAGGTTGTAGCTGATGTGTAAAATATTAATAAGGTGTGATCTATGTACATTAATGCTTTGCTTAAAATCCTCCAATAATGTTCATTTTTTCTATTAGTTGCTTAAATATTATGACAGAACCCAACTTCAAGGAAGGAAAGAATGAGGTAATAAGTACTTCACTGTAAAATATGAAATATTTATGAACTTTACTGAACTTCACTCTAAATAAATTTTGTATTAGTGGTTGAAGAGAAGCAGTGCAACAGACTTCTGAATAGAAAGCTTAGAAAAAAAATATTGATCCATGTTGATGAAGATCCTGATAAGGCATGGTTTATGAGAATTAGATGTTGACGTTTTATGTAGTATAAATTGATGTTTTTTTTATTGTTGAAAAGTATTAACAATCCAAAATCTTAATCGGAGAAGACTTGCTCAATTACAAGTTCAATTCCCTAACAAAGATCTAATTCCACCACACTGGGTTAACTTCAGTGATAAAAGTCATCGATGTTATGTCGATTTGTATTGATAATATGTTTTGCTCATATTTTAAGTTATATCTTTTACTTTTTTTTATTTTGAAAGATAACTAGTAATATCTTACCTGAAATGTGTAGATGATAACATTTTCTTAAGAGACATTATCCATTTGAGCAGGAAGTATATAGATGATGTGCTCAAAAATCAATATTTAAGCGGCGCTCATGTGGATGCTTTTGTACTAATACCAACCGAGAATAGTAAAATTCTGCCTGGCATGTACGAACAAGTTGTTTACATTTACAGTATGTATTTAATAAATATCAAATTACATCTTAACTGTACATATTTGTTTATTTTAATAAAAAAGTATAATTTATTTGGATCTTATTTATATACAGTTTTATAGTAAATTAGAAAACCATGAGAAAGAAAATAAAGTATTTTTCTAACATGTAAATAAGATTGCAGTGGCAGAATATAAATA